TGTTGGAGGACGGGGGTTCTGCAGTAGAGGGAGTATGACTCACACCTCAACCATGTGACTCATGAATCACTGCACCTCCGTGTGGGCTGTGCTCTTCTCATCAACCTCGCCACCCCCCTTTCTCTCTCTCTCTGTCTCTTACTCGCCTTCTTTCTTCATTATCATTATTATTATCTACCTTTCGCTTCTTCATTTAGTATCCTTTCTGCAACCTTTTGTGTTTGCGTTGATTGTAATTTCTCTGTCTCTCAGCTCTATCATTTCTCCTTTGTTTCCCCCACCATCTTCTCTTCTATCTGCTTTTTTTATACATCTGTTCTCTGCATTCCTTCACTCGGTCACTAGCCATCACCACACTTTTGTCAAATAAAATCTTTCACTCCTATTGGTCTTGGGCTTGCGTTCTTTCTTACAGGAAGAGGACATTTGCTATACATTTATAGCCATTCCAACATGACACAGCCATTTGAAAATGGCACAGATTTACATCCGTAAAAGTAGTGTGAATGTTTCCTTTGCTGTTGTTTAGCATTCATCATCAGAAGGCATATGCATCTAATGTCTTCATTTTTTTTAATTAATGGCTGCAAATACTGTGCAATGAGTAATGCACTAGATAACAATACAATTACATTCTTTACAGAGTGACAGTGTTCTTTGAGTGATGCTAAAAAAGAAAGATTTTTGGTTCCCTGAAGAACTATATTTGAAAAATAAATGTTTGATTGTGAAGAACCTTTATAAAGGTTTCAAAAACCTTTATTCTATATCAATTTAAGGGCTCTTTAAACTTAAAAAAAAGTTCTTCACATTCATACATAAAAATATTTTCTTAAAGAGGCATACATTAAACGGCTCTTTAGGGAACCAAAAGGAATTTTTCTGTGGCGTGGCTCCAAAGAATGTACAATACAGTGTGAAAGCTAAGATACAATCCTTGCTAATAAAGGTTTACATGAGTTGGCAGGGAAGACACTGGCTCAATATTATTATTAATACTCCTTGGAATGTGATGCAAACCTTTGCATAAGCTCCTCATGCATATTAGCAATAAAGGTACGAAAGGTTCCATAAAAGTTCTTTGGAATGGTACCATTTGGGTGGTGGATCATTCTCAGCACTGCAGTAACACTGGCGTGGTGGTGGTGTGTTAGTGTGTGTTGTGCTGGTACGAGTAGATCAGAAACAGCAGTGCTGCTGGAGTTTTTAAACACTGTGTCCACTCACTGTCCACTCTATTAAACACTCCTACCTTGTCAGTCCAACTTGTAGATGTAAAGTCAGAGACGATAGCTCATCTGCTGCTGCACAGTTTGTGTTGGTCATCCTCTAGTCCTTCATCAGTGGTCACAGGACGCTGCCCACAGGACGCTGTTGGCTGGATATTTTTGGTTGGTGGACTATTCTCAGTCCAGCAGTGACACTGAGGTGTTTAAAAACTCCAGCAGCACTCCTGTGTCTGATCCACTTGTACCAGCGCAACACACACTAACACACCACCACCACATCAGTGTTACTGCAGTGTTGAGAATGATCCACCACCCAAATAGTACCTGCTCTGTGAGGGTCCATGGGGGTCCTGACCACTGAAGAAGAGGGTAAAAGGGGGCTAACAAAGTATGTAGAGAAACAGATGGACTACAGTCTGTAATTGTAGAACTACAAAGTGCACCTATATAGTAAGTGGAGCTGATAAAGTGGACAATGAGCATAGAAACAAGGAGGTGGTTGTAATGTTATGCCTGATCGGTGTAAATCACCTTTTAGTTCAATCAAGCTTTTAAAGAAGTTCTTTAGGGAACCAAAATTCTAAAGAAAGGGTGCACAACCCTGGTCTTGGAGGGTCAGTTTTGGTTGTTCCTCTACTCCACTGGTTTTAAAATCAGTCTTCAGGCCCCGGACAGTTCACCTTTTCGCTTCATCCTTATGCATAGGATGCAGTTAGGTTGTAGCAAAAATGTAGACTGTTTGGGGTCCCTGAGGACTAGTTTGAAGACCTCTGCTTTACTCAAACACGCCCACTAAACTTATCAGTTAATAGAAGTTGTGTTTTGAGCAGGTAAATCACCAATTGTGACAACCAGTTGTGCACCCCAATCTAATGTAAAGATCTAATATAAAGATCTTCATTAACCAGTACTGTGTAGAAAGCAGTGAACAAAAAAATGTGTAATTAAAAATGTATTTTTAGTTAAGATGATCATTGTGCTTGTTGTATTAAAACTCCAAGTACTGGAGAACTACTCATGTCATTAGTAAGTCTAGTTAAGTCTTGTTAAGTCTTCTTTTTCTCTGTGGTAATTAGATAGATACAGCCATGTAAGCTCTCTCATTGGGTAGGACTTCAGGAGCTGAACTGAATACCTAAAGCATCAGATTAAACACAAACATAATTAGGAATCGGCAAGGTAATCAACCAAACAACCAAATCATATTTTGATTTTCTGGATTGGTCTAAAAAATTGAGGAAAATAGGTCACTCTAGGCCTTCTGGAAATGCTATATATGTCACTGCCAGTAGGAGTAGTAGTTAGACCATTGCTTTTGCATCAGTTGTCAGAAATGGAAAACTGTGGCAGCTGTGAGGGCTCTTCACTAAAGGAGTTATCATATCCTAGGGTTTCAGTCATGTGATTTTTCTGCTGTGGCCGCCATATTTGGGACCGAATTCCTGGCTTCACTGCTCCCCACAAACATAACCAGAGGTGAAAGATGGCTAAAATTGATCACCTTACTTTGAAAGAGAAAAAAACTAAGTCAATAAAATAGGCTGTGATCCCTATACAGTTTCCTGATGAACTCCTGGTCCCACTTAACCTGGTGGAAAGTTTTCCTGACATATTTATTTATCTCATACCCAACCCCTCTCCCTATTCTGGAGAGTCTCTCTAAGCATTTAAAAGCACAGAAGGGGAGGATGAAGGGCCTCATGGTGTTGCATAAAGAAGAGAAAAAACTGTCATCATAGGAAGGGTAAGGCGACATCAGCTAGATAACACAGATATGAACAGTGCTAGTTTTTAGATAATTTTCGCTAATGTTAACAGCCGACAGATATACAGTTGTCCCCCTGATGGAGCTAGCAAACGTATAACTTTACTTCTCTGTTTCTGGAGTTTCAAATAATGTTTGAATGGATAAACATAAACATTAAATACAAGACTGAATGTCGTTGGTCGGAAGTCTACGTCGCGTTTCAACAGACGTGATTTTGTAAGTTTGCTAGTGCAGTTAGTCCAGAGTTCCCAGCTCCAGTCCTGCAACCCCTGCACTGCATAATTGTGGTTTGCTTGGTTAAAATACCTTACATTATTAACTAATTAATCTCTTCTTGAGCTGAAGTGGTGTGTACAGCTGAGAAAAACTCTAAACCTTACAGTCCAAGGGGTGCTCCAAGCCTTGAATTTGAAAACACTAAATTAAAGGTCTGTGTAGTCTCTCTTCATTCTCAGCTTCTGTTGCGTCTTGCTGGTGAATCATTCACAAAGCACAGCAAATTGAAGGCATTGCGCTAGCTCAGTCACCCCCAGATTCAGTCCTCAAAATGGCGGTGACTATGCAGTGTGACATCATGCAAAATGTGAGGATAACAGCAGCATGCAAGGGAAAAATGTATGTGACTATGTCCGTTACAAGCTCCAATTAAAACATTGAATTTTAATCTGGAACAGACCAAAAATGTTTGTGTCTCGCCATTAGTCTAGTGTTGACATGCCATGAGAATCCCATAATGGTTCTTGCAGAAATAGCATTAGAGGTTTTTTCCTCGTTTTTGACCAAGTTTTGACATTAATGGCCCAAACGGAAGGCCTAGCTCTAACAGTCACAGTATGCCACTTGTATACAGAGTGCTAATGTGTATGTTTCCTGTACCCACTGTCTTATACAAGGTGGCAGGGAGTCTGTTGCTTCTACTCAGTGCATCTCCCATTGAGAGTCTTTGATTTGGCCCAGCAGACCTACTGTGGGTAATAGTGTAGTGCACAGCGTAGTCTGTGTCTCATTAAGTGTTCTCTTTCACGTGACCTCCCCCTTTCCCCACCTTCTCTTGAGACCCCTGTCAGCAAATCAGACTAACCAGCCTCTCCTCTAACCCTCTTTCCCAGTGCTCTTGTGATGTAGTGTGTGTGCATGCATAGTGCATATCAGAGCTAAGCCTAAACTTGCTCCTGCATCTAATTATGAAGACAAAAGGTGGCAGCGATGTGCTCTGAGGCTCAAACAGTTTGCTGGGATAATTGCTTTATTATAAGAAAATCCCTGCAGCGCTATAACATGATTGTTCAAGAGCCCATTAGCAGCATCCACTTTGAAGACTACTCGCAAAGGGACCCTGAACACACCCGTTTGACTCTCCTGAGGGAATAATTGTTATTAGAATTTGTGTTTTATTGTATGAGTGCTTGGTCTGTGCTGGATTGGTGGTGTATATTTCATTCACTGCTCTAATGGTCAAATCATACTTTCATACAGTTATTAGCCTGATGTTTTTTATGTTAGTGTATAAGAAGTTTCTTTAATTCTGGAGGACTAGTGTACATTTCCCTACTCAAACATATACTGCACCTGGAAATTAACTGCTCAATTTGAACCAGGTGCATTTGGGCAGGGAAATGATCAACTGTGCTGGACAAAGGCCCTACAGGACTGGAACTGAAGAACCCTGGCGTGTAAGTAGTGCATGCTTGTAGAAATGTAGAAATGAATTATGTGGGTAGCATAGACCAGTAGTCATCAACCCTTTCCAGCAGAGTTCAGTTCCAACCTGCATCTAACATGATTACCTAACACTAATGCATCAGATTCAAGAACATCTGAAGACGTTACTTAGCTGGAGCAGCTGTGGCAGATCATGGTTGGAACAAGACTCTACAGGAAGGTAGATCTCCAGGACCAGGGTTGGTGACCACTGGTATGGACTGTAAACTGTAGATGGTGTAGACAGTAAAAAGTAGACCTCAGAGTCATATTGTCCCCAAGACGCAATTAAAAACCAAATGTTAATAAAAAATAGTTGATTTTATTTAATTCTCTCTGTGTAGCAAAACTAGCCATCAACATGCGGTTATTTACATCCAGCAAACGCATGTTTATTACGGTACGTACAAGGTACATCTAGAAATGACAAACAGCTGATTTTCCTTATACAAGACATTTTTTTCCTATGGTACGCTAGTCATTTATCTTTTGTAATTTTTTTATACTTTTTTTGAATGCTCATAATGTCTTCAAAGAAGAAACACATTTTAGATGCAAGTTCACATAAACGTGCAGACACTTGTCTCCTCCACTGTTTCAGATTTCTTTTGTCAGTTTTCCTATCCTCAGCTTTTCGTCTCTTCCCAGATTTAAAAAATTGCTTAAAAGAATTAGAATGCCAAGCACCTCCCCCCCTTTTCGTCTTCTATCTTTTTCATCTCCCCTCACTGTCCTGATGGATAAGGTATCACACAATTTGGATACATGACTCAGCATTTTGGTGCTGAATCTGCTCAACATTGTTCTGTTGAGCTCTTTCTCTGAAATTCAAAAAAGATATGGTTTGCTGAAGAACTGTTATTAAAACTAGTTGAAAAGGTGACTTCTAAGAAGCTTTCTGAAAGGTTCTTTGAGTGACTGTTTGCTCTGAGTGTGCCCAGTTCCAGGAGTTCAGTGAGAAGAATGAATCATCAATGGTCTCATGCGGTTCATGTGTTCTTACACACTTTGTCCTGTAGCATTAAATCTGACCTCCCCAGATGAGCATTGTGATTTTGGCCCCAGCTGGACTCCGAACTGTTGTGTGAGGGAAAAATATCGATCAAAAGCTGCAAGAGATGTGTGAGTTGGGATCAATTTCAATTAGAAGATTGTCAGTGCTGCTTTGAAAGAACTTTCATTGACTCAGAAATCTCTTTTGTGCAGATTGTTCAGTTGTTTTCATAGACAAAATGTCCAACAGACAATACCTCATTCATATATCCCGTAGACATTAGTCGCTGAATGGAATTAGGAACAGAGATAGGTCATTGGGAAAGTATCGAGGTAACTTTATATTCATGCCTCATTCATCTGTTTTACAGTTAAACTGCTTAAATCTGACCAAAGTTTTGTTGCTCCATTTTTATATGAAAATCCTGGTGACCAGTATCGAACCTGCCAACCCAACAATGACAAAAATGCTGTCTCAAAAGGGAGAGTGTCTTAATAAGGCAATAAATAACTGTATACACAAGAGCTCCTATGAAATAGCTTTTTTTTCTTAGAAATACTCGGAATGTATGAGCGTTCTTTGCACCATCTTTCAGTCTTTTGCGTAGAAAAACTATTTAAAAAACACGTTGAAAGGGGAAAAAAAAGTCAGACAGCAGACAGTAACTAATTCTATGTACAGGACTGAGTGTGTTCTTATTACACATGATCACACACATGTTAAATGCTTAAGCAGAATACTTCTAGGTACAGTTAAGACTCAGTATGTTTGTTCGGTAGGATGAACCAAAGCCGAACACTTCCAAACAGTATGGCACTGATTTCTGATTCTAAGACTTCAGCGTGACTGACTTGAGTTTCACGAAGTTGAGTAAACATGCTCTTGGTGCATGCATTCTTTAAAGGTGCAATTTAAATATTTTTTTGCTGTTGTTCTATTTCATAATGAAATGAAAAAATGTTTTTAAAAAAAGTTTCAGAACTTTACAAACAATCAAAACATAAAGGTAAGGCTTACAAAGGGATGTCCCATTGATCTCTGTACTTTTGAAAGGCCTTCTCGGAGTATGGAAAGATAGGAATTTAAATTGGGTTTTTGAGCCCTGTGTGCACCCCACATAATAGACAAAAGCACCTTTCCTCACATCGTTCTTAGTGTTTCTCAGTCTTTTCAGGGGAGGGGGGTCGTAGATGAGATGAAATGAACGTGACGAGGGATCTCGACATCATCTCTTGTTACATTCTGATCAAGACAGAAGCTCAACTGGAGTGAGGAACAGCACTGAAAAACGGCAACAGTCAACAGTCTCCAGGCAAATTATTCAAATGAACTCAAAAGGGAAAGACTCAACAGACATATTTCTGCAAATGAAACCAAAATATGGTAGGGTGGCAAAAACAGTCTTCCAGTTGTTCCCTTTCTTACTGTCCTACTTTTCCTCCTTATCTCTAATTACGCTATCTGTATCTTCACTGAAACATCTGGGGGCTTTTCAGGAAAACTTTCTTGATGAAGTTTTCTAGCTCCTCATCGCTGTCCCGCTGTGGCTGCCCCAACTGGCTATAATAGTCATCTTGTCTGGTGACTACAGAACCTGGGGACGGATAATAGAAGGCAGGCCGGCGACGCAGTGGCGACCGAGGTTTGGGCATGGGTACAGCTTGGAAAGTCCGGGGATGAGGGACAATGTAATTAGGGAAGTAGAGGTTTCGCCGGAATGCTGGAGGAGCCCTTGGGCGAGGCTGCGTCCAGGGACGGTACCTTTGTTTGAGGGAATAATCAAAGTCATAGTCCAATGAATTCCCCAAGATGTCATTAAGGGAGTAGGAGGGCTTGGCATAGTAGCGTGGTTTAGGCTTGGGAGGAGGGATGTAGATGGGATAGTAGCTACTGTAGGGCTTTTGGTAGAACCGGTAGGAGGGGTAGGTCCGAAAGGGCCACTGTTGCTTGATCCAAAAGTCTTGCTTACTGGGCTTAACGGAAGCCCTGTCTTTGAACCATGCTTTGAATGGATTTGTATTAGGTTTAGGTGGTTTTGATGGGGGTGTTGTTCTTAAGACCGTAGATGGGGCAACAGGAGCTGGAAGAGATACAAGAGGCCGTTGCCATTGCAGATTTTCAGGGGCATCTTTTTTCTTTTTCTTCTCCACATCACTGATTATATCAACCACATCATCTGCAGGGAGGTGCAGCTTACTGGAGATCTCAATCAACTTGTCAATAGTTTGTGGGTCAATGTCATCATCGTCATCAATGGTATCCTCTTCTGAGCGTTTGTCTTCTGCTGCATTGTTGTCTTGGTACTTCTTCCCATCTTGCTTGACCATGTACTGCAGGAGCATGTCGGATGCAATATCTGCAAGTTTCTCTTCTTCTGCTTTAGCTCTCTGGGCCTCGGCTGCCTGTCTACGCACCTCCTCCTGTTCAGCTTTAGCCCTAGCCTCTTCTTCTTCAGGACTCAGCAATTCCTCATCTTCTTCATCCTCTCCGTTTTCCTCCACTTGATCTTCAATGTTGTCATTAAAATCATCCATAAAGTTCCCTCCCCTGTACAATGGCCTATTCTTGTTCTTCTCCTGTTCTTGCTGCCACTTGAGCTTCTTCTTGGACAAGGCCAAGTCATAGCCCTTGGCTTTGGGCTTGATCTCATTATTCATGAGGCCATTTCGGTCCAGATAGTCAAGGTAATTGCCACGGCTCTCCCTCTGTCCAGTTGAGGAATCGCGCTCCCTTTTTGTAGCTGTGCTGTAGCTCTGAAACTCCTTGAGCATGGTCTCCAGATTCTTCAGTTCCTCTGGGCTCAGCTGCTCATCTTTCTCCCCATCTGTGCCTCGCTCTGGCTCCTGCTGCCCCTCCTTGCTCACCACCTCCTTTGTTGCTGCCTCTGGTTCTTTTACAGGCACTGTTTGACTAGTGGTATGACTTGTCACCTTTTCTGTAAGCCTTTCTTCTTCTTCCTCTATTCTCTTCCTCTCTTCATCCTCCTCTCTCTCTCGCTCCTCTCTGCCTTGCGCTGCAGCAGCTGCCATTACCAGCTCCAGCTCCTGATGTCCATCTCTGTCTCTTTCAGCCCCCTGGATCTCCCTCACCTCCTCTGCCTTTTCTTCTCCCTCATTCTTGTTTTCCTCACTCGTTGTCTTCCCTTGAGGCTTGTTGAGAGCCTCTAGGAGCACTGCTGCTAGGGTTTTGGGATCGACATCTTTGAAAAGTTCATCCTCCTCTTCTTCTTCTTCACCCTGTGCCACTTGCTGAGCGTCTCCTGCTTGGGTGGACTGAATCTGTGGAAGTTCAGGAGAGGGTGGTCCATATCGACTGCTGAGGGTTTCTTTGTCTTCAGTCACAGGGCTGGCGTTTGTGGGCTCAAATGTAAGGCTGAAGAGGATGAACAGAAGCGCTATTGGGGCACTTGAAACTTGTTGGCAGCGTAGCATGACCGTGCAGATCAGGAGCTGAGGTGTGAAGGTGATGCGCCTTCAGAGAAAGGAAAAAAGGAAGAGAATATATTCAAAAAAGTGTCAGAGAAGATAACAAATACACCTCCAGTATATGACAGTCGCCTTATGAATGCCTTATTTCTGTCAGATATTACGTTTCAAAGGCTCAGAAGAAGGTGAGGAAGGCGAAACACCTTCAGAGAGAGAGGAAGAAAGAAAATGAACATTTAGAAAAGGTCAAAGAAGACAAATATGTATACAATTTACATTGCTGCCAGACATGAAGTTACGAAATGCTCATAAGCAGCATGATCAGAAATGACGCTGTATCACAAGCTCAGCTGGCTCATGCACAGGGAGCCTTTTCCCTGATAACATGGCGCACACGACGGACTGCACTGGGATGCTATTCATAGAACCGTTACAATGCTTTCATGATGTATCAGCATTATTTATTAAAATTTGTTTTATTGACCAACAATGAGGATATTGGAAAAAGAGAAGAAGTTTCAGCACTACAAATCTGCTTTACCACAAAACTTTGTTTGCTTTTATGAACTGGCTTCATGTATTGTGCATTATATTCACAACAAATATACTGTGAGTGGTTATCATTTATCACTTAAGGTCATTCATAGAAGAGATGATGGACCTGGATCACCATTTGGTGCGTCACCACCTAATCCTAATGAAAATCACAGAGCAAACCTCGCAGAAAGACGTTAATCAGGAAGCAGTAAAGGCGCACATGCTCTGGTCCTGCCATAATTGATGTCTGCTGTTTGTCTTGGTTTCTAATTGACGGCGAAGTGCGAGCGCTCTGGAGACGCGGAGCAGGAAAAGGGCGCAAAGCGGAGAGACCCTCCGATACGGCGGCTCTACTGGTGGATATAAATGCTAAATAAAGTGTGGCTCGCTTTTTAGCGATACTGGTTGTATCTAATAGACTAAAAAGCAATAAGGCTTGTTCTGCGAGTTTAAATTCTAAGGAGATAAGCGCGCTTAAATGTGAATTAACGCGTGCCGTCCAAACCTTTGGATTTCAGATGTTACAGTCTTCACTGATGTCTTTAATAATATCGTCTTGCAAGACGATGAAACGAAACTGCGCACGAACATAAAACGCGCAAATGGTTCAATTTTTACATATACACTCAATTTGACTGCGCAAAGCAGAATCCAGTGTTGAAATCCTACAACGTTAAATTAACACACGAGTCCAATTGGGCGCGAGGGGCTTCACTGTGGAAGGTATTTGGTGTGCGTGATCATCATATTGCAGATGTGCGCTTAATCTGAAGACGACCAATGGATAAAAAGTACCCGTCTCTGACTGTCCTGATATATATAGCCTTGTACTTCACTGTCTGGCTCACTGAATACAGCAAAATAACGTTTTTGACAAGTAAAGTATGCTATGAACCTGAGGAAATCCCCACTACCAAGGAGCAACTGCCTCCCCTCTTTTGTCCTTTTCTAAGCCATCACTTCCAGTAAAACACTCTTGGGAGGTAACAGCGCCAAAGCACATTAGTAATCCGCCTCTAAGACGCCGTGTCTTCACGTAATCTTCTGCGTTAAGCCGGACTCTTTTAAAGTACTAGGAAAGCCGCAGCGCACCGGCAGAAGTTTGGACACCAGAGCGAGCTAGCCCACATTGGGAAAGCACAAAAGCGCTGATAAACGCAGCAGCATACACTGTGTCTTTTTATGCAGCTCCACATGCTTCCTACTAGATAGAGTTGGAAATAAAGACCTTAGTGAGAAGAAACACTCCAAACCAAAGCGAAGTAAAAACAAAACAGCCCCAGAAACTTCACGCTCCCCGCCTGTCTTTGTCAGTGCTCTCTAAAGGGAGTCCCTGTTATTATTTTTGGCTGATGATGCTATGGTGATGGGAAAGCTGACGAAAGAGGCAGTGGGGGAGCGGCACTATTACTGTTTCTGAAATCTGTAAACAGTTATCGATCGTCATAATTGACACAACTGCCTTCATGATCTGCAACCATTACAAGCGCTGTCGTCATTTACAGGCACGTCTGAGCTCCATTTCACTCAAACGAGCATGATGATGGTGATGATGATGATGCATCAGTTCCGACTCCACCCAGTGATGTTCCTCATTAAATCTGCTTCTGTTCAACAGTTTCTCCTTTTTCTTTTATTTGGCGGACACGACGAGCCTTTAATCAGGTTACTGTAAGCAGAATCAGTGCTGTATATACTGTGGTCGTTAATGATGGTAAACAAAGTGGTTGTTTCTCAACTTGCTTTGACACCTTCATCAGCCCAATCAAGTTACACTACAGTACGATATTAATCGCTGACACTGTCCACGGAGACCTGTAAAGTAGTTTGCGACACTTTCCTGCTGTGTTATTGTATGAAAATGAGGGCTTACCGGAATCCCAAGCGCGACGCGGTCCCGATGCACTTTTTTCTCTTCTTTGCTGTTGCACCTCTGCGGCCGGACTCACTTATTCTGTTTACTGGTGTGCAAGTCTCCTTTGTTTGTGAGAGGAATGTGTCTGAATGTTTTTTCTGTAATATCTGTAAGTGAGACGCTCGTTCACGCCGTTGAAGCACGTCTTCGTGACGGCGCTGCTGGGAGATATTTTCAGCACCCTGGTCAGCTCCTCGCCTTTATATGCGGGCCCTCCTGTGGCCACGTGACCGCGCGTCACCGCTGCCCATTGACGTCATCGACTTCCATTGATAAGAACGTTCGCGTCGATCGAAACCCGCGAGCGTTTGCTACGCTGCAGTGCCCAGATGAATGAACGGCAGAGGGATGAATGAAATAGTACTCCGGCTGTTTTTTTTTCACTTGGAGAGAGGGAGAGAAAGAGGGGGCTAGAGACAGCACTACGGAGAACAGAGAGACAGAGAGACTCCCAATAAGGAGCCGCTGCAGTCCACTGTTACCCAGTAGATTTGCCATGTATGGATGTTGACCACGTACACTGGCAATGCAAAAGGTCTAATATGCACAGTTTAAAAGCTGAAAGAGACATGAAAAGGAATAAATAAGCCTTGCACCATCAAACAATACTCTTTTCTTTCTCACTGGGCATGAGATCACTGGCAAACCCTTATAGGCTGATAATATATAACATGATATATCATAATCTGTAATGTTTTTGCCTGCAGTACTGTCTAATGTATACTACATGTATAGCGTAATGTAGCAAACGGCAGTAATGAGCCCAATTTACTGTAAGAATGCTGTAGTGTTACTATAGATCTCTTTTATAAGGGACATCTTATAGTTCAGCACTCAACTCCTCACTGTGACACAGTGTTAACTTGCATTTGCAACATTTGTGTTGTTTCACCCTTGCAGCAGTACTACTGGCTGCATATGACATACGTTTGTTGTCAAGGGAAGTAACACCTAGCTCATTATTTTACACGGGACAATTACAAGCACTTTTATGCCCAAAATGCATCAAACCCAATGACTTGAACTGAAATGAAGTCTAATATTTTGAGACCATTTTTGAATCCCAGTGGTTGCAGATGTGCATCACCAAATTAATTTGCTTATATGTTTTGCAAGGATGCCTATTTGTATGTACCCTCTACAAATCTACAAAAGGGATTCATAAGAGAGAAGCTGGTATAGATGTTTCATCAGAGCATGGCATGCCTATGTTAAAACAGGCAAAACCTCTGCCCCTCTCTTTCATTTGCAGACACAGTGTGTGTGTGTGTGTGTGTGTGTGTGTGTGTGTGTGTGTGTTTCTGCAGGGGGAGAGAAGATGTGGCGGAGGAGACAGCACCCTAACAGGATGCCAAAGGGCAGATTGTGTTTTAAACACTGAACATTATCGACTGCCACTGAGCTCTAAGAGGAGAAGCTGTTTTCAGCGTCCATTCCCACTCAGTGATTCACCTTTCCTCACCCTGCATTTGCACTCGCTCAACACACAATCACGTACGTTTGCTGGATAGAAACAGAAACACTACCGTAGTACTGCATGAAAGTCAGAGACCACCTTTCATTTAATTTCCAGTCAAAATGTCCATTAAGGTCAGGTTATTCATTTTTTTCAGCGTCAGGAAAAAAAGGCAGAAAACATATTTAACATAAAATTACACAGGTGACTCAACAACTAAATATAGGACTTGGGAATAAGATGTCATGAGGCAGTGTCATGGGTGATTCGCCATTGTGGCTAGGCTAAACGGCTAGTTCTGAATAGTTGAATGAATCTTTTTTCTACCTACTTTCCATGATTCTGGCTGATCTGTATACCATAGACTCACTAAACATATAAGCATGTGGATCTACATGGCTGTCAGAGCAAAATCAAGGAAAGCAGATAACAAAGGAAGTATAGAAGGCATCACAGCGAGAGTGCTGATAAACATCAAGCTCATTTTATCCTCCAGTTGTGTAGATGCAATGGAATAAAACTTTTGTTGTCTGAATTTATCTCATTTGGTGTCAGCTAACAAAACCATAACTCATTTTCCAGCTAAAAGGTATGAGGTGAAGTAATGTATGATGTGACTGGGCCAATAATGTTAGCTAAAGTAACATATGATTACCATTTGATTATCATTTATGTTTATTTTAAAGACATTAGATTGACTGCCCTTTTGGTGCAAAGCCCCATGATCTTATACAAATTTTTGTGGGGTTTAATACTGTTCAGTGGCTGAATAAAATATGCCAATAACTGAGTGAAATATGCTAATAACTAGGTATACTACACCAGTGGCTGAGTGAATTCTGCCAATAACTGAGTAGAATATGCCAGTGCCTGAGTGAAATATGTCAGTAGCTGGATTAAATTCACCAGTGGCTGAGTGAAATATTAATTTGTAAACTGTGCATGGGCTTTAAGTGACTTAAAAATTCTAAATTCTAAATGAATTGAGGCACTTAAACCTCACATTAGCTATGACAAAAGACTGTGAATGAAAGAGGTGTCTTATCCAGATCATTACCCCACTCTTTGTAAGTTTGTGTGGATCCACACCGTCAGTAAGGCTATTTTTTTCCATAAACCACTGTTAGGCATTCCTCTGGAGTTGGTTACACTTCCTTCTCATTTTATTCACTTTTTAATATGACCAGTCTGAAAAACCATAATAAAACATCAGTCTCTTCAAGCTTACACACTATGTGTTTGTATTTGCAGCATGTAAAGAAAGAAAGGACACTGCCAATATGGCAGAACAAACCCTTAATACAGCTGGATGTAATATCAGTTCCCAAACCCTATAATACATTTTTGTGGAAGGATGTTTAGAAACACCTGTGAATCTTTTCAGATATAAAGCAAGACTGGAGATTTTCTCATAACTCTGTACTGTTTATCTGATGGTGACAGTTTTGGTGGTCCACCAGGTCTTACACTGGTGTTAAGAGTCCTATTTTCTTTACACCTATACCTTCTCTACATATTAATTTCTTTTTGGAAATTTGTATATTTCATATATTTTGTCTATTTTCTCCTCTCTTATGCAAGTGGATTGACTTATCTGTAATCTCCTTGGAAAAATCCATTTTGAATGGCCATTAGGACTTGAAATTAAATAAATTAGGGGTGGTCTCTAACATTTGCCCAGTACTGTAAGGGTTGAACTTCAGGATGTGGTCAAAATAAATGAACAGAGATCTGATTTGTCAGACTAACCTGGTCACTTTTTTCATTCTAGCCTTATAGGCATTGTTATGAAGATAAATGTGAGGTGTGAGTGTGTGTATGAGTGAGAGTGGCTGGCCCATAGAATGACATTTAGTTCAATATTTCAAACATTGCCTATTCACATATTGCAAAAAGAAATCCAAGATTGCAAAAGGTTGCTTTTTGGTGTGGCACAAACATCAAGATGAAGCCGAGTTTATTGACTCCCTGTTGGTGACCGGAGGCGTAATGCAGTCAAAGAAATCTACTGTTAATTTGCAGTAGCGAAAGCAATCTACTCAAAACACAACACACGCTGCTCAAAGAAACTCCCTAAAAGGCTATCACAGATATATGAATGGCTTGCCTGGCTCAGCACCAAACTCTGTTCCAGTTACAAAAAAAAACTGCTGAGGGAAAATCCCATGTTTAGTCTTGTCGTTGGCTCCATTGCAATATCCTCTCCATAATAAATCTTCCCATTTTCCATTAATCCAAAAATCCATGTTCGTCATATCATCTAAGTGAATAGCTTGCATGTCTTTTTATATTAGAGATGTGCCCTACTGTACAGCAAATCTTTATTCCAAGGAATTACTCATGTTCCAAGATTTTTGAGTGCTTCTGACACTTTCACAAAAGTGTTTCATTTGAATTTGAGTAGTAAAACCTGCGTGCAGCAGTAAAGACAGAGTTAAGTCCTGTACTGTAGCCAATTTTTAGATTAACTTCAGTGTCCTTGTTGGAAGGCATGTTAAACAAACAAAGCTTTCAGAATGTAGATGGAGTCGGGTGTACACATGTTGTATAGCTTAAGATGGATGAATTGGATTAGGTCACACAGAGAATGAATGGACAACGTTTTTGCTTGGTTGTCAGGAAAGATTTCAGGTCACTTTACCCAGCTGTCAGCTTACGTTAACTTCACACGGAAGCCGGTGTTTGTTCATGCCATATAAGTGGTGCATTTCAAATCAAGTCCTGCTCCTGTATGTAGTGACTTACTGTCTACTGAACTGAAATTAGTGAACAGATCAGGTCTTAAAGGGAACTAGATTTACTTAATTGTTAGAAGACTAAATACTTTTAGAAAATGACCTAACAGCTAACAAAAAGCTGACCACATATAATACAATTTAACATTAAGAATGGTCGTTTGATTGCTTACAGTGGTGCTAGAAATTTTGTAAAACCTTTCAAATGTCTTTGTCAGAAAAAGCATGTGAATCTCTGCTGTCAGTAACTCGTGACCCTTAAATGACTTCAACCAAACATTCTTGGTAACTGTTGATCAGGCCCCCCATAAACTTGAAAGAATTTTAGCTCATTCCTTCTAACAGAAGCTCTTTGACTTAATGATGTCTTCATGAACTCCCCTCCTTAGGTCCTTTCAAAACATTTCTGATGATTTAAGGTCTGGAGCTCTTCCAAAATGTAGCATTACTTCTGCTTCGACCATTCTTTAGTAGACTGGCGTGTTTAAGTTTGTTGTTTTGCTGCAAGACAATCTTCTGGTGAGCTGCAGTTCAATGAGAATTCTGTAGAATCCATACCCTGGATGAATTCATGCTGTTCTGAAGGTCAAAGAGGATCACCGCTATACCAGATAGGTGTACCAAATTTGGCAACTCAACCACCATCTCGAATTAAATTTCTGTTGTTGGTTGTTTGGATTTGCAATGCATGGTGGGAAATGCTTAATCATCTATGGCATATTCATCTCCTACATTTTAAAGTGCATTGTGGGATGTCACTAGTTGCCCTTCTAGTTAGTCGTAGCCTCAGACGCTCTGCCCACAAGTAAACAGTGTCTGATATCAAACATATGCTTAAGCTGGGCACAGCTGTTGGGATTTTGTCTGTTCCATTCTGATTGGCTAACCAAGTGTCCATGTGTACACACCTCCATGAGTTTTATCTGTCTGACGGAAAACTTTTGCTAGCAGTTGCCCACTCTGCATGCCG